AAGCCATTTTAGAGTGGGTCTTCCAGTTTTAATGATTAAGGTAATATGGAAATTGTGCAGGAATTGATATGCAGAAACAGATCCATACATATCTGGACACATGAATATAACAGATCCATACTTATATGTGAGGTGTCATTGCAGATGAATGAGGGTAGGAATCAATGATGTTATGACAACTGATCATGGAATTTAAAATTTTTAACTTGAAGAACAATCAACTACATATAAAAATAAAAACAAAACTTGCAGACCAAAACAGTGCAATATCTTTATGATCTTAAGTTAAAAACAAGATTCTCAAGGCAAACAGTACTAACAATAAAATAAAAGGCATAAACTTAATCCCTTAAAATTAAGAGTTTATTTTCATGTCCGGATGTCATAAGCAAAAGAAAAAGGGATGTTTTCCCAAGGCAAATGGAGAAGATTAGGTTTCTTTTGTACTGGGCAATGCTTACTAATTACCATGCCTTAGCTGGCTTTTGAGGGATATTTACTTAGGATATTTTGAAAGGAGACTAAGAGAAAATACCATTGTAAGGCAGAGAGAAGACATGGCCATCAGAAGGAGAGCAAGTCTGGAGAAACAACAATGATATTTAAAAGATATTCAAAGGAAGTTTTTGGTGCCTAAAGTGTAATAAATAAACATGGTTATCTATGACATGGAGTAAGTAATGATTTATAATAGTTCTATCTGGGAACAACACTGGGGTAAATTATGGAAGATGTGGCTAGTCTTTAGGCTTCAAGGAACTTTCTGCATGTTATTAATCTTTGTACTTCCAACTTCATAAAACATAGTATTAGCTTAATAAATGTTTATTTCTTAAATATGTATTGATTACGTACTTTGTGCCATTGTGCTAAAAAGTAGTACTACACATGCTGTCTCAAAAAGTTGTCAATGCTTTCATATAGTTTTCCTTACATTGGCTAAGGGAAAGAAAAGCACGAAAATGAACTATTGGCAAAAAGAGCCATTTTTTTCTTATAAATCCACCAGGCTCAAGGTGACTTTTTACCTTGATGGATCAGAGAAGCTTCTCATTCTCTCCCCAACTATTTCTATTCCATTTTTCCCCTTGGGAAGTGGACATCAGACACATTCCAGGGTAGACGCTGAAGATCTCTGTGAGTGCTAGATCCTTATTATTGCTATAATAATCAACCAAACACCCAGGCACCTTTGTTTGGAAAGAAGTGATCACAGAAAATCAAAATCATTCCGGTCCAGTTTGTGAACTGCATTAAGGAAGCTGCACACTGGTCAGGGCACATGGTTAAACATCACAGAGAGGGAAAGAAAGCCTACAAGGAGCATGAAGCAGGAGCTGAAACTTCACACACAATTTGGAGCAGACTAGGTCCATGGATGTGTGTGAGTGTCTATGTATGTGGATGTATGTGTGTGGATATATGTACATTTGCAGAAGGGGAGCAGATAAAAAGAGCAACATCATTCTTCAGTCTAGAGCCTTAAAACTAATGACAAATATAATTTAGTAATGTACTTAGCCTGTCTGCAAAACTTTTCAGCCACATATTTACAGATATAGGGAAGGGCTTTTGCCTCTTCTGAGGACATATTTTACCTAAGGCCTACACAAATTCATTGTGTACAGAAAAATGTGATGTAACTAGAAATCAGGACCCCAAGGCCTCTTCCTTCCAATTTAGGATGAGTGGTATAATGGCCATGTGTAGCACTTCTTGTGAGAGGCAATGGGCTTAGAACCCACAATTCCTCCTGTCACTGCTTCCCCAGGTATTTGTATCCTATGGATGCTGGAAAATTGGAACCATGAGGTTCCTTGGAACTGCTTTTTGGAGTGTGTCCCAAAACCTTATCAAGAGCCTACTGAGTTATAGTTTCAGGGCCCAGAATTAGTTCCTGACATTCCATCTCGTTTTCATACCTGACAATGGGACATTCAGCAGGTCTCTGAATTAGTCAAATTTGTATGTTGAGCATAGGTGTATAGAGTCCATTTACCTCAGATTGGGGGAAAGCAGGGAGGTTTGCTAAAATGAATTGTGTGTCTGCTCTGGAATTGTCCCTCTTTGTCTTTCTCAGGATGCTAAAATCGTGGCTGAAGAAATTATTCAACTGTTTGTATATTTCATTGAGGTTATGTTCATAACTACTAGAGTGATTTGTTATGTTTGGTTTTTCTGTCTACTGTTTGTTTTCTCTTTGGTTTTTAACTGAAATTTTATGTAAAAATTAAAAGGCATTTAAATATTGTACATAATTCAATAATATTTCCTCAGGAAATTATGTAATTTGGCATTCATATTAGAAAAATATCTTTGTGTCTTTTGATTGCTTCAGGTTAATCATTCTGATTCTTTTGGACTGAAATGTTAATTTGCTTAAATTTTAAATGTTTCTTGGAAAATGATCTCAACATTGATGTTTCTATCAACCATCCTGAATATTGCTACAACACCACTACAAAGAAAAATTCTAATTATTGAAAGGCAGTTTTCATATGGGCTCAATATAGTCTCCCTATCAATCTTTTAAAGTAAAAAATTCAATAAATAAACACTAATCAATTGTTTATCATTAAGTAACCTTGGTAAACAAGTGTGATCTATTCTCTAATGCTACCAGATTTTTGGTTTGAAAAAATATATTATATTAGTCATTATAGAAGGGGATGAATAACAGTTGTCAGGAGGGGCTCAGTGAGGACCTCCTGGTGAACTAATTGATTTCTAACCTGAGATTCAAAGGTGAGTGGAATTGCTGGTTTGTAAGAGACAGGAAAAGAAGAGCATCCTAGGCAGATAAGAAGAAATTTAGTTACCCATTGGGAATATCTTGGTATGTCTGAGGACTTGGGGAGAATCTGATTTCCAAAGTTCAATGACTATAGGGAAAGGAGCATTGTATGCTGAGTGATATAAACCATACTAAAACCATGACAATAATAAAAAGGTAGTAAGGTGGTGGTGAAAGATTATTAGGAGGATATAATGATATTTGTGTTTTATAATGATCCATTTTTTTTCTTTTTTCTTGTTTTTTTTTTTTTACAAATAGTTTATTGTCAAATTAGTTTCTACATAACACTCAGTGCTCATCCCCACAAGTGTCCTCCTCCATGCCCATCCCCCCTGCCCCCCACATCCATCAGTCCTCAGTTTTTGTCAGCATTCAAGAGTCTCTCATGGTTTGCCTCTCTCCCTTTCCCCCACCATTTCCCCCCTTCTTCTCCCCCTTGTTCCTCTTTTAAGTTCCTCCTAATCCTCCTATACGTGCAAACATATGGTATTTGTCCTTCTCTGCCTGACTTATTTCACTCAGCATAACACCCTCAAGGTCCATCCATGTTGCTACACATGGCCAGATTTCATAATGATTCTTTTGATGGTAGGACACAGAATGGTCTGGAAAAGGACTGATTGTTAGGAGATAAGCTGAGGACTGTAACGGAACCTGATGCTTGTGGGGAAAGGAATTGGGAATGATGCAGGAATTGAATAAGGGGAAAAAAGGACTGCCAGGTGATTTCTGGATTTCTGCCTTGAATAGAGAGAATGACCTGGCTTTGGTGAGAGAAGAGCCTGATGTGGGGAAAATGATAGTTTAGGTCTGGACACAACATGCTGGATCCAACATGTTGAATAGTGAAAGTCAAATGGGAGGAGGGAGAGACATGCTTTCCACAGGAGTTTATCCAGAAAACACATAAATAGAGATGATTTTGGAATAAAATGTCTCATGCATTAAGTATGGAGCCTCTCCTTATCCTCCAGGAATTTTATGGAATCTCTAGCAACAACGATTTCCCTCCCAACTCTTTTATAGTGTGGTTTTGCTGTAGCAGGAGGGAGCAGAAAGTCATATAATGATTTCTTCTTTTTGTTTTCTGGGTTGGCACAGCCTAACTGCTGGAGTCATGAAAGGATAAGATCAACATGAAAACATAAAGTAAAACATAAAGTACAAGATTGATAAGCTAAAATTATGCTATAAAAGTAGAAATATAAATTTGTTACACAAATTTATGTATGAAAGTTTATGTATAGCTCTGTTACTATTGAAAAAAAAATTTCTGTGGATCTGCTTGAGGGTGGATTTTGTGATGTTACTGTTGCAGGATTTTTTGCCACAATACCGGGATTCGTTTTCGTGCTGCTTTGAAGAATGAAGAGGCGGACACAAAATGAGCAGCCAGCTAAAGTTTATTAGAATATAAGATTAGAAAGTAAGAATAGTAGGAAAACTCTCTCTACAGAGTAAGGAAGTGAATGCTCTGGACAATAGGGAAGGGTCTTTGTTTAAAAAGGTTTTGGTTAGCCCTCCTCTTCCTTTCCCTTCCCTTTTGTTCCCTCTCAGGTTCTACCCTTATTGACTGTATAGCTCTGGTTGCTGGGTTGCCCATTCCTGATTGGCTCATTTCCATTATATGAGGAGGGGGGACGTCTATGGCCATACATAGTCTTTTCTTAAACCCCTGAGGGAAATCTGAGAGGGAGGGAGTAGGTGGTGTCTGTTAGATTCTTAAGAGGAACTTTATACCTGAGAGGGTATCCTGTGGTCAGACACTCCTAGCATTGTTCCAAAAATATGTGTTTTTCCTGACCAGAGACCTCAGGCCCTAATCTTTTCCTCTCTGCCTGCTGAATCCTATCTTCCATCATATTACCCTTGATTTTAAACATGCAGCACCCAGATTGACTCAAGCAATAATAGCTCATTGTATAATAATCTGTCATGAAATAGATGTGCATGTCTGACTCCTCTATCAATTAATATGCTTGTTTGTGTGTCTTTCCAGTGGCCAGTAAAATGCCTTGCAGAGCCATGGATAAAATAAAGTTTATAAAAATTAAGTATAAGAAGACCAACACTTTGACCTTTTTTCACAACTTATACTGTAGCTCTATATTTTTGTCCGAGTCATACATTTAACAAAATTATTTCCCTGAATTATTTTTTAACCAAATAAAGTTGTTATACTTTTGACAATATTTTGTTACAGGTGATTATGTTGTCATGACTATATATTTTGAATTGAGTAGAAGAATGGGATACTTCACTATTCAAACATACATTCCCTGTATACTGACTGTGGTTTTATCCTGGGTGTCATTTTGGATCAAAAAAGATGCTACACCAGCAAGAACAGCATTAGGTGAGTTAAAAATAACAACAACAACAACAACAACAACAAAACTCTTCTACCATTTTGTATAATATTAATACAGAAGTATTCGTAAAAATACTTCCAATGAAAAAGACTTAATTCAAATGTGCTTAAGGGGCGTCTGGGTGGCTTAGTCGGTTAAGCGTCCGACTTTCGCTTAGGTCATGATCTCGCGGTTCGTGATTTTGAGCCCCGCGCCAGGTTCTGTGCTGACAGCTCAGAGCCTGGAGCCTGTTTCATTCTGTGACTCCCTCTCTCTGTGACCCTTCCCTGATCACGCTGTCTCTCTCCTAGAAGTAAATAAAACATTAAAAAAACTTAATTTAAAAAATGTGCTTAGATTGTTTTCAATAGTCAAGTTAGACTCTTATTTCTGACAATATAATTCCATGTGTGCCACATAAAATAAGTTGGGGTTAGGGGTTCAGAACAAATCAATTGCATCTTTGATACTATGCTCTAAGGATGATGTCATCATAAAAATGTAGTCATGTCCTGTGAATCTGTCACGCTGAAAATCTCATTACATCAGTGTAAGGAGACAATTTTTCATGCACTTTTGAGGACTGAGAACACTGTATCATTAGTTTCTCAATAACAGAAGAGATTGTCTATAGCAACTTTACCATCAAACAAGAGAGTGATCATTCTTTTCAGCTATAATCTACACACTAAACTTCCAAGTCTTTTCATGAATTTTCCTCTGACTTCCCCCAAGTCCTCTCCATAAAACATTAAATTTCAGTGGTTTTAGAATTGTGCAACATTTTATATCAATTTTTCTTTATGATAGGAACAGTACCTAACTTTCAATATTTTGATTTGTGAAGACAGATAATATATAAGATTGAATATATAGGTTATTTTCCCAGAAAAATGTCTTTCAGAAAAAAGAAGGAGCTGCCTCAATTTAAAATCCTTGCAAACTCTCTCACATTACATGGTGCCTTTTCTGTATTTGTTATTTTATTCTTTGTTCAACAACAAAGAACTGTTTGAGGAAAAAACTTAACCTGTAATATCCTCTACCAGTGTTAGTTTTGCATGCTTATAGAAAATACATAATAAAATTGGTAAGTCATCCAACAAAGTTACAACACCAGTTTAGTAATTATTCTTGGGGCTACCACCTCATAATTATAAATGCCAGGTAAGCATGACTTTAAATATCAGCTTCAAAAGAATATAATATGTTGTAATGGTTGCACAACTTGAGACTATAAAAGTCCTGACAAAGAGTTACCACTATGGCATTAAGGGAATAGAGATACTAGAAATACGTAATGCTGGAAGATAATAGATTTACACTAGAAGAGTGTAGAAATGTCATTAACACCAGAATATTTAGTTGAGACACCAAAAAGCCTATGGCTAAGACTAAAGGGGGACTTGTAGGACTGCTTTGAATAAATTTTGCACCAAGCCATCACAAGATCAAGAACCATCAGTAAATTAACCCTCTCTCAAAAGAAAACATTTAACATGCTTTTAAAAAGAATAGCATACTTCATAATCTTTGTAATGTATCATCCACAATATTAAGCATAAAATAAAAAATTAGTAGACATTCTTCAAAGCAGGAAAGTATGACTCATGATCAAGAAAAAAAGAGAGTCAATATAAAAAGACAACTCTGATGTTGAATCAGCAGACATGGGCTTCAAAGCAGCTAGTTTAACAATGTTAAAGGACTTACAGTAAAATATAATGTTGATAAATGGACAGATGGATAATCTCAGCAAGTAAAGTGTATTAAAAAGTAAATTCTAGAATGAAATGTATAATAGTTGAATTGGAAAAATTCATTAAATGGGCTTAAGAGCAGATTCAAGATGGCAGGAAAAAAGTTCAGGCATAATTGAAGACCATCATACAAAATTTATCTAATCTGAATAAGAGAAGGATAAAAGATTTTAAAACATAAACAAAGCCCAGTGGTCTGTGGGACAACATGAAGATGTATAACAGCTATAACTGGTGTTAGAGAATGAGATCAAATAAAATGAGTAAGATAAAAATTTTTTGAAGAAATAGGGCGCCTGGGTGACTCAGTCAGTTAAGCGTCCAACTTCGGCTCAGGTCATGATCTCACGGTTCATGGGTTCGAGCCCCATGTCAGGCTCTGTGCTGACAGCTAGCTCAGAGTCTGGAGCCTGCTTCAGATTCTGTGTCTCTTTCTGTCTCTCTCTGACCCTTTCCTGCTCATGCGCTCACTCTCTCTGTCTGTCTCTCAGAAATAAATTTTTAAAATTAACAATTTTTTTAATAAATGAAGTTAAAACTCCCCAAATTTAATGAAAAATTTCCTACCTACATATCTGTAGACATGACATGGTCACCATATTTTTAAGTTAGATTGCATAATATTTTTTGTATAAAAATACACCTGCCATCAGTGTAGACTTTTCCAGTTTACACAGCATTTTTAAAAATGTTTACTTATTTTTGAGAGAGAGTGCACAAGTAGGGGAGGGGCAGAGAGAGATGGGGGAACACAGGATTCCAGGCATGCTCTGTGCTGACAGCAGAAAGCCTGATGCAGGGCTCAAACTCAAAATCCATGAAATCATGACCTGAGCCAAAGTCGGATGCTTAACCAACATGACTGAGTCCCCAAAGTGTCCCATATTTACATAGCATTTTTACATTAAGTATGCAACTTTCCCACCTACAGTAAGGAGAGCCTGACATTCTGTTTTCACCATAGTGATTAAAGAAACAGATTCAAAGAAAGCAAGTGACCAAATACTGAGCAGGTCCAGAGCAAGGCCAGGGGCTTTGACTTCCAGATCAATGTCTTTTACACATGGTTAAGCTGTCCACCCTGTACTGCTAGCCCCATTCTCCAACTGGCCCTAACTATCCTCCCTGAAAAAGTAAGGGAGGCATTCACTACACAGGAGCTATAATGCTACAGAAAAGGTGGGAAATAATGTGCATTTATCTATCATATCTACCTAATCACTGAATATTACTGCCTGGCAGATATTTTATAGTATTCTGATTCAACCACACAGGTAGAGGGTATTAATGTCCATATTCCTGTGATTCCAGGATCCATGTCACTAGCCTGCCTGTCCAACAGCTCTAGCAGGTTCTGTTTTCCCAGGAGCTCATCTAGGGGAGACTTAGCCTTAACTTGTTTTGCATAGTAATCATCCAGTCATTTCATTCTTTTTCATGTTTAGTAGCCTCCATTCTTTTTTCTTTTTCCTTTCAAAAGTTCCATCACATGGGTGTCTCTTTTCTAAATCTTTTCCACAGTCTTTGATTAACTCTTTAGAATTGACTCACTAAGTAGCAAAATAGTCAAAGTCAGACCAACACTAAGTATTATGGATTAACTGATCAATGAATCAATGCATTCCATGTGAAGCATTCATCAGAATGCCAAAAATGCCAGGTACAATGCTTGGTGATAGGTAAGAAAAGATGAGCAAAATACAGTTTTGCTTGTAATGATTGCACAATTTATTTAGGGAGACAGAAATGCAAAAACCATAAAGACATATGCAATTATCTATGCTAATACAGATATGAGGTACATAGAAGGCACATGGTAGTTCAGATTCACATGTTATCAACTCTGAGGTGCATGCAATAGGACCTCAGAAAGAGTAGTACTTCATCTTGTTTTCAAAGAAGGGTGGGAGTTCACAAATTGCATAAAAGACAAAATATGAAACAATTTGAGAATTTCTGAATAAATTGAGAGGTGGTGACTTAATTCAGGTAGTTTAATGTTTTTGTGAAGACTATAATAAAAACTTTATGGAAATGTTGCTTGCAAAATTTCATAGACATTAAAATTATAAGTATTATTACATTTATGCAATGTCAAAAAGGATTTACCTAAAAATAAAACACTGTTAGAATGGAGGAATTTGATATTGTTCCTTTTACAACTTAATAACTATGCCCTGTACAGGCATCACCACAGTGTTGACCATGACCACACTCAGCACCATTGCCAGGAATTCCTTGCCCCGTGTGTCCTATGTGACAGCCATGGACCTCTTTGTGACCGTTTGCTTCTTATTTGTCTTTGCTGCTCTGATGGAGTACGCCACCCTCAACTATTATTCAAGTTGTAGAAAACCAACTACCACTAAGAAGAAAACATCGGTGAGTTCCAGTAGCAAAGATTTTCTGGAAAAGTAGGGGAAGGATAGTTTGCAATAAATGATTCTTATTCCTAAGGATCTTATGCACTTGTTAAATAACTAGTTAATTCAACAAGACATTTTTTAAAAAGACAAACATTCTGAAGATACGAATATGACCATAAAGCAAGCACCTCTTCGCCTTTACCTACCAGTGACATGGATTGATGTAATCACATGTGAAAGATTGATCTTAACTAAGATGATTGTAAAGCAGATTTCCACAGAAATTTTCTAATTGCTTTTTCTGGTTTTCTTGTAGTTATTGAATCCAGATTCCTCAAGGTGGATTCATGAGCGAATAAGCCTACAAGCCCCCTCCGTATGTATAGCATTGAAGGTGCAAATATTTCTGAGAACTCTTACTAAACTAATAATGAATGATATTATTGTTTATGTATGCATGTATTGAAGAACAATGAGTGTTGCACACACTCCTTTCAAAAGTGTGTACACTTTTTTAAAATATCCAATTTAGAAAATTTGGAAAATGAAAAAAATAATCATAATCCTTTTACCCAGGGATCAGCATATACATACATATTTCTGTTTCGTAACTCAAAAATATGTTATGAATAAGTTTCTGTGTTACAATATTATTTTATAGGATCATTTAATTATTGAATTTTTTGCAATGATTGATGCACAGACAGTTGTGACTGGATATGAGGCTAATCCACACCATTTCACTTTTATACATATTCTTATCACTACAGTTTTGTATATACCTGTGACTATTAATATAAATTCCTAGAAGCAAAAAGACTGGGCCAGAAGAGTTGCTTGGCTCCATGAGCAGCATGAGACACCTACCTCCTAGAACTTTGGATAGACAAACAGAAAAATGGCTCCTACAAACTGTTCCTTTATCACTTCTTTGATTATTGACAAAGTTGGATATATTTCAGTTTATTTTTTATTCACATTTCTGTTACTGTGAATTGCTTTTTATGTCTTCTTTTATATGTTTTTATAGAACATTTATAACTATTTCATGTCTTTTAACTTTTTAAACTTTAAAAGACACAATCTGCCAGTTATTTATATTAAAGATTATGTATATTGTATTTTATATAACATAAAATTTATACTCACATACAGAATAACTAAGCATATTAATATGTTTTTTGTTATGTAGTTTTATTCCAGTTTCATGGCCATGTTGTCACTGTCATTTCTTGTGCTTTTCTCCACATGTATTAAGTCTCCTGTTGCCAAATCTATCAGCCTTTCCTTTTGTGGTCTCTGCCTCTTGTGTCTTTCTTGGGAAGGTCCTCCCTACCCTCAGAATGATCTAACTCCCCGTCACTTTCTTTTGAGCACTTAATCTGTTCAACACTATGTTCAAAGTGCTTTCATGTATCAGTTCATGTAACCTAACCCATTCTAATAACAAGGAATCTGAAATATGGAGAAATTAGGGCCTATAAATATTGATGAAGGTACAATAATTTATAATATTGTTAAATTAAATTAGTAATGCATCTAAATTTTTAGTATGTGGCTTGAGGTAAGAATCCAACTTTTGAAAAATTGAGAAATGTCTAAAATTTACTGACTTGAGCTACCCTTTTATCATATAACAAAATTTGTATATAACTACTTATATTTCTTTATAAATATCAGTTCACTAATTACACTGAATGCTTTATGCCCACCTGTATATAATACATAGTTTTCTAACTGATGATTAGTAATTTATGTTTAGTGCATTTCAACATGTTTTTTAAAGGAGACTGCTTGGTTATCTATACTCTGCAAGTGTATCATTTTAGTTCTAACAGAAGGTGAGTGCTGAAGACACTGTTACAGCTGTGGGAAGCCACAGAGAACTACAGATTTGCCAGCAAATGCTTCCAAATAGCAACAGATGGAAAAGTAATGGAAAGGGTTGGGAGTGGGGATGCTCTAAACAAAAATAGGTCAAAACAAATAGCTTGAGGCCTAGAAAGCACATTATCACACACAGTCAAGGGGTTGGGAGTGGAAGAAGAAATATTGACACCTTTGGTATACAAAAGATACTGCCAAAAGAAAGAATCTTTTACATAGCAAACAAACAAACAAACAAACAAACAAATTTTCACAAAACCAGAAGAACTGTTTTGTTTTGTTTTTAAGAGAAAAAGTGTAATGACCTTGAAGAAAGTACATAGAAAAACAATTCAGAGAGAAAGGGCTCCAGGCCAGGTGAAAAGACACAGAGAGTTCTAAAACAAAAGTTCATAAAATAACCAAAGAAAAATAGAGTTTTCCAGGGTGCTTGGGTGGCTCAGTCCATTAAGACTCTGCCTTTGGCTCAGGTCATGATCTCATGGTTCATGAGCTCAAGCTCTGTGTCAGGCTCTGTACTAACAGTGCAGAGCCTGCTTGGGATTGTTTCTCTTTCTCTCTGCTTCTACCCTTGTGCTCTCTCTCAAAATAAACAATTTTTTTTAAAAAAAGAAAAGGGAATTTTCAAACTTTTCATGATATTTTTCAATGTATTCAATTCTATGCTGAAAGATCCACAAGGTCAGGCTAGTTAAGGGGCCCTCTATCACCAACATCTGCAGAGATGATCAGTCTCTGAGCAATGAGGAACAGGAGCCAGGCCCCACTAACAATCATGTATGCACTTTGGGGCAAGCTGTTCGAACATCTTTGTGCCTCAGTTTCTTAACCTGTAAAATTCAAGGTTAACCACTTCATATGTGGAGTAGAACCTGCCACCCAGGAAACACATGGTTTCCAGGGGAGTCAAGAGACGGCATTATACATGCAGGGAAAGCAGGGGAGAGTTAGGGACCCTGCTTGGCTGCAGGTGACCTTGGAGACATATTAATTAAAATCTCCACTTTGAGCTCAGTTTGAAATTTTTATGGTAAATGAGAGATATACATTTTAAAAAGTATGTAAGGAGTTTAACATATGTTTAGGGCTCTTAACATCTTAAGCTTAATTTTAATATTATAAAATCCAATTCATTTTATTTCATACTTATTTATTTATTAAAAGCCCTCTTAATTATTAGATCAGGTTTATTTATATTTCAGTGATCACGATTCTTTAGTTTGCTAAATTAAGAAGTGAATGGGTGTTTCCTTGGCCCCAGAAACCTTGCTGCTCATGTGCCTGCAGCTCCTTGGTTACCCTTTAGATCTCTAAAGATCTGTCCCCACCCTTTCAGAGCCTTCTGATGCCCATTCTGGGTCAATACCTTCCTTTGGGCTTGTTCTGCCAATAATGGCCATGTTTCTCATCTGTGTGTCACTACACAGGCACAAAGTGTTGAAGAAATGAAAGGATGAATATCTGGCTGAATACTGTCAAAACACGTATGCAATTATGTAATAAAGGCAGGTTTTTCCAATTGAAGCTTGCCAAAAAGATACAGATTCCTCAAATGCACTGAAGTACAGAAGGAATCAACTTTTTTTTCTGCTACCACCTCCCCTGGTGATTTTTACCCACCCAAGTTTAAGAACTATTAACCTTGAGGAGATGTGTCCACAGTAGAGCCTATAGAACAACAAAGCTTTCATTTCTGTCCATTACCCAAAGGCATGGAAGAAGGTAGAAGGTTTCAGCATGACATTCCTCACTGGTCATTGGTATGTGTGGAGTAGTCAATGCTTAGTGAACATGTGGTCTGGGACATCTCACTTTGGGTTGGACCTCACACACAAATACTTCTGAATTAAAAGGATGACCAAAAGGTTACCAGTAGTGACACTGAGTGCTCTACACTTTTACTTGCTTCTCTCTGGTTTTTGGCTCCACATAGTTATAAACATATTCAATCAAACTGAAATCCAGAAGTAGAAGGAAAGGTGTACAATGTTTCTTGTAACAATAATTTTGGGTAAAAATACAGTTGACCCTTAAAAAAATATAGCTGACCCTTGAATAATACAGGGGTTAAGGGTGCTGCCCACCACACCGCACACACACACACACAGAGTAAAAATACCTGTGTATAATTTTGACTCTCCAACAACTCAACTGCTAATAGCCTATTGTTGAGTGGAAGCCTTACTGATAACACAAATAGCTGATTAACATATGTTTTATATGTTATATGTACTATAAACTATATGCTTACATTGATGTAAACTAGAGAAAAAATGCTATTAAGAAAATCATAAGGAAAAGAAAATACATTTACAGTACTGGACTTGTATTCATTGAAAAACATCTGCATATTAGTGGACTCACACTATTGAAATCCATGTTGTTCAAGGGTCAGCTGCATAAGAGGTACTCATGATGCTTTCTAATGAATTTTGGAAGGTCCCTCTCCCCCAAGCAAGGAACAAAAGAGCTAGCCAGCCAGCTGAAAACTAAGTTTGTGTGTCCACCCCTCCCTTGATTTCAGCTCCCACTACTTCCATTGGCACACTTCAATCCCTCAGTTCAACCAACACAAATAAAACTAAAGCAGAAAGGCAACTATAATTCTTAATACTCTCACATCATTCAATCAAATTTATAAATATATCTTCTTAACAGACTTCAACTTAATACATAATTCATAGTTATCTGGAAAAGCTAAACAAGTGCCTGAGGAATTGTCAAGTCTATTTGAAGCCACCTCTCAAAGTTAAGAGTGATTCCTCTCATTTTTGAGTGAATGTAAGTCAACCCTCTCTCCTATACAGGCCCTAAACTGATTTTTCCACATCAGGAGGAGAGCTCGGGAAGTAGAAAATAAAACATTTCAATTGTACACACTTTTGGCTATTTCTCTGTATGTGACAAGTAGTGTCTGGCCACCACATACTGAAAGTTCATTTTTTACCTTAATTACATTGAATAAGAAGATTCTCTCATCAGTCTTATAATACCATATTTTTACTACTTACTAATTAGGAAAAAAAAGCAAATTTATCTCTCCACATTTCAACATATGTAATGCTTAACATTTAAGGGATTATACACAATATGTACTCCAAATCAACAGAAAAGTAGGCAGAACAGAAACTTGAAATAGTTACTACATATCTGAAAATATGCTCAGCTTCCCTCACCAATACCTGATATATGCAAGTTTTGAAAACTGCACTGTATTTTTTTTTTGCATTACATTTTCAGATATATAATTGGAAGATTTAACTCTAAGATTAAACTGTCCAGTTCAGGGATTGGGGTTGTGTGGGAATGGGCATGGCATTATCTTTCTTATCTATTGGACAAATATAACATGCACCTATTGCTTGATTTACCTCAGGCTTTTCTTATTGCATTACATGATGATTTTTATGTTGTTCTTGTTGCCTACAGAACTATTCTCTCCTTGATATGAGGCCACCACCACCTGCAATGATCACTTTAAACAATTCTGTGTACTGGCAGGAATTTGAAGATACCTGTGTCTACGAGTGTCTGGATGGCAAAGACTGTCAGAGCTTCTTCTGCTGCTATGAAGAATGCAAATCTGGATCTTGGAGAAAGGGACGTATTCACATAGACATCTTGGAGCTGGACTCATATTCTAGGGTCTTTTTCCCTACATCATTCCTGCTCTTCAACTTGGTCTATTGGGTTGGATACCTGTATCTCTAAATGTTGCTGTGGTGATGAGTAAAGGGCACTAGGTTTTACTCTTTACTTTCACCCTCCCTAGACCAGTAATGACCATTTGGAGTAGGAAGGAAAAACACTGCTCAGTTTATCTGAAGTTATACATTACCTTTGAGCAGAGCAGGAGTACATGGCAACCACTTCTATTATGTATTTTACACTCACACACAAGCGCACGCACACATATTAATTGATTTTTAAAGTGATATTCTTGCTAATCCCTTATTGAATTTGTACCTTGGTGATGTTTATGAATGGTCTTTTGATATTGGAAACAGTTGCCAACTGTCATTGCAAGGAAATCTGTAAAACATGCAAGCAAATATCTGAGAGGCTCTCTTATGCCAAGACCCCTTCTATATCTTTCCTTAGCAACTCTTAGAAGCACCAGTGCCCACATGTGTGGAGTCACTGCTTGCTGAGACACACTCATACTGACCTCAGCTGCCCGTGTTCCTGGGCAGTTTGAGTTCAAGTATGAACTGCAATGAGTTTTGATCCAGGTTCCTCTCTCTGTGGCCTCTTTTACTCTGGCACTATCATTGTTAGTTAGCATTTCTTTATCTAATAATCTCATCCTTGGTTTGGGAAGGGTGTATATGCATCATCCACAAGTTTCCAGTTGAGAAAAAAAATATGATTTGCAAAATTCTCATGTTGCTGAAGTCAATGATGTTGATTATCTCCGAACATCAGAAGGTAATTACTAATTCCAAACTACTAAAAGTCAGCAGTATTTTAAATTTTCATTCTTGGATTAGTTCAGTTGGAGTTCAACATTTTACCTTAAGAGTTGTGTTTTACTCGACCAAAACACAACCCCAGGGTATATGTCTTGGGTAGATTATGCTATTACAGGTTCAATGATTATCTTCATCTTGCAAAGACAAGTCTACAGCAATCATAAGCCTTTGTCTTGAAAATGTTTTCCGAAGTGTGAAAGAAATATAGATGGAATTTAAAATTTTCTTAGTGAATATTAACTTTCAAGTCAAATCAACTTTAGATGCAAAAAAAAAGGCAATGGCTATCATCAATGATATATTTTGATGAACAAAATTATTTTATACTTTGAAATATGAATATGTAGCAAAATCCCAAAGAAAAAATCCCCTGAAATTATTACTCTTTTGATATTTTTATAACACAAAACTAATTTGCTTCTCAATGTTAGTTCTTTGTTATAACTGGATGCCAGTATGTACTTCACAAGACTCTTCAGAAGACTCCCACCATTGATAGGAAAAACAGTCCCACCTGTTCATTAATAATGTATTATTACTTTTGGTACTAAAATTTTGGTACCAGTATCTCTGTACTTCTCATCTTTCTCACCTAGAAAATTGAATTAATTTTATTGGAAACCATAAAGTTTTATTTTAATTATCTATTGTAAGTACAATTATTACTCAGAAAAAAGGTAAAATAACATACAGAGAGAATATATAAAAGTGTGTATTTCACACAATTTACTGGAATGACTACCAGACATAAAGGGATGGGAGTAGAAGAGGCTAGAAAAGTAAAATACGAATCTGTTTATATTTATGAAACATCATTCACATCAAGTGAATGCAAATACATTGGTATACGATCACCCAGCTTTCAAGGACTGAATCTATATAGTGTGAGACATCCAAGTCCATTGCTTTCCTTCCTGTGGTCTCCCTGCCTTTTGATTTGCTAGTTGCTATATAGGCCACAAGCCAATTGGGTTCCACTTAGCAAATTCATTTTAAAACTTAAAATAATGATAAACATTTGTGGAGAAACAAGTTGAACCTATTGGCTTACATGAAATTTCTACTTTATTAGAGAATTTCACATACTGGCATCCTTGTTCTGTCTCTCATACATAAAATACTCCCCCACACTTGGCAGTGGTGTCCTGGAGGCACTACTTACCATGAATCTTACCATATCCCACCAAAGCACTGAGTACCAATGGAAGGTGGTCCAAAGTCAGTCTTCTTCAAACATAATTTTCATCTTTGTGAATTTATAATATCTAACAAAATGTAGAATTTCAACCTGTTATGTCTTAAAAGTAGTTATGGAGGGAAATGAATTTTCTAGTGAAATTCTTCTTGGAAGTGAAATAACCTAAGAACACTTTTATAAGATAAATTTAGTCCAATCTTTCCTTAAAAATTATATTGATGCCTCTTATTTCAAAGCTACTCAATATTTGAGAGTTGTTGGCAACTCTTATAAAATTATATGTGTAGGATATACATGCCAATAACCTGTTTTCTGAATCCAACCATTTTCTCTCTGACCTTAGTCATCCTGCTGATTTAAACATTAGTTCATGGTTCATTTTCCTAAAAGGAAAATTTTATCTCAAGAGAATCTCATAAACGTTCACTCACAAATTGTAAAATAGACTCCTGTGCATACAGCAATCTACCCACTCTGGGTTCTGACTAAAAAGAACTCAAACAGCCCCTCAGAACATACCAATGTCAGTTTCTCTGCAGGCTTGTCTGTTCAAGTTCTCCTTATCAATTTCAACTCCTGATATAAGCCTTCAGTCCACAGTATAGGAGATGGCACGTAAGTGCAGAGCTCAGGGGCTTGCTTATTAAACACGTAAGAGTTTACCTTTTGGAGGAAGAAAGAGGAGAGGCACAGGAAGAATGTAAGGAAAATGTATCTCTCTTAAATTGAAGGACTCTCCATCACCAGTATGCTTGGTTAGTAGTGTATGTGTGAGGTGCATGGGTGTAAGGCTGTTCCACCCAGATCCAGCACCCTTACAGCTCTGCCCAGCTTGCTTTGCATTTAGACTTGAGAAATATTTTTTGTGTTTTTGTGGCAGCTGGTGAGGAATTTGCATAAGTGACTGATATTCTAAAGGTGCTACTGTATTCCTCACTTTTGGAAATATTGTAAGTTGCAGAGATGAGAGTTACGTATTTTGAAAGGATTTCTAATTTCTTACCACTGTGGACCATGCTGACAACTGTGACTGTCTCTCCTTTAAGCTCCATCCAGGCTGAGAGGGAGACAAAAGAAAAGGCATTCCACATTAATGAAATTAGAGAAAAATTCCTCTTCAGAGCCTAGAAAGTTTCAGTTTCTACAAAGTCTCAGCACCAGTGACCAGAGGAGAGATTCTCAGGTACTGAGCAGAGAAAGAAAATGTTAGTACAATTTACTTTTGACCCAGCCAATACTGCCCCCCCTTTGACCCAACATATGCCTTAAAATAACAGATTAAGCTTATATCATAGACATCTTATAGATTTTCAGTTTCCTGTGATCACATATATTCATGTCAGGTTTTATTTATTGTTTATTGATGGATGGATGGAGACAGGATTTTCAGTGTGTGTGTGTGTGTGTGTGTGTGTGTGTGTGTGTTCCAAGCACTCTTATCCTTAACTGTATATCAAATCAGTTAAGAATACAGTTTTTGTGGATTCAATTGAAAAAAATGTTTGTCCTCTATGGCAAAGCATTTTCAGGCTACATAAGAGAAATTGGCACCAATCTAAAAGTCAGTGACATAGTGCTTCTGATGGGATGTGAGTGTACACAAAGAACCTTCACACCAAGTCTTTTTATCTGGGCATACCTTCCTACAGTAAAAGTGTCTAGACATATTTTTTGCTTCTCTGCAAAATATCATACTCTGCAAACGAAAGTGGGTATTTCATAACCCCATTTTGCATTAACATATACTTGCCACAACTAGGAAGCAATGGGGCACTCTATCTAAAGGGCTAGAAAAAGACAAACAAACCTCTTCTTCCTTGATTGTTTTTTTAATCTCAGCTGCCAATAACTGAAAACGTTCTGTGATTTATTTTGCAAACTTGAAGAATTATAACTTGTTTCCAAGCATTATACTTATCACTATATCAGATCAATGTTCTCAAGACACAAAGCACTTTGAATTCTCTTCATGATCTTACAAACAGTTGCTTCTTCTGAGAGTTTATAAACTATATTAATATGCAGTTTCAGACCCAATTTCTGTAAGAAAGAAAAGTTAATGAATGATTTGGGGTAAATGTAATCAGTTATAAATATACACTGAAATGCTCAGAACCCTATTGTTTTTAAAATATTTAGGAAAGTGTCTGGAAATAAGGGGGTAAAAACAGATTATAAATATACTGTAAATGTTAAATTCACAACTTTATGCTGAGTCCTCTTCAAATTGCCCAAAATTAAGGAAGCTTGCAATCTGTGCCTATTTCTTTCTCTCAAATTTGCCTGTAGGAAACATTCAGGTTCACAAGGTTTAAAAGTACCTCTACATTGTAAAATCATGTCCAAAGAGCCAAAAATAAAAATAAAAATAAAATAAAATAAAATAACAGTTCAGGCTAAATGACAAATCCCTTTTTGTATTCCTTGTTGACTTAACCTTTTACTTTAGAAATAAATTTCTATCATTATAGGGAGAAAGCAGATACCTGTTGAGATAACAAGATAATATTTCAGTCACTTACAGCTCTGGGAGAATAAGAACTTGGCTTCGTTCATGTTTGATAGTTTTGAAGACTAGAGACTAGACCATTTCCATTCCTCCTTTTAACTTTCTTCTGATTACAAGTCAGCAATTCTAGGCTATAACCTGGTCTAGTTCTATTAAAGAAAGACTATTCACTATTATTTTTCTTCAAAATATCTTTTAGTTAAATGATGCTTTGCTTTTAATGTTGTCAATAAAATACCTTAAGCCTTTTATTACTCTGCTCACACACACACACACACACACACAAATTTAGACTAGTTTAAATTAGTGCTAAAAAATTAGTTGAACAGTCACAAGTTTTCAATGTTTTGAAGCTAACCAAGTAGATTTTTCAGATTACATAACATAGGAACATGAACTAGAAAATTTGGTAGACAAAACACACAAGCATGCACACACATACATACTTGTGTGCACAAATGCATATGCATGCATGTACACACACATACGCAAACACATGCACACATACAAAGCAAACACTGTTTGAATGCAACATTCAGGTAATTGAAGGAAATGTAAATTGTTCTGCTTGCATTATTCAGATAATGGCTTACTTCCACCACTTCATTTTTCAGATTTGTAACCACAAGACAGTTTTCTCAGCCCAGTGGACTAGCTCCACAAAGTGAGGGTGATAGTGGTTCCTGCAGGAAAACAAGATTCTCTATGTCTGTTGAATAGCTTAAGCTGAACAGACTGGAAAGAATAGTGAGGATTGAATTCTAATAAAGAAATCTCCCATATTGAAAAGGTAGCTGCCACAGTTTCTTTTTTCTGGTTATTTGGCATTTCTTCTTTGTTTCTCACACGAATCTTATTCACAAAAGGATTAAAGTTCTTAATTTCAAAAAAAAAAAAAGTAGAAGTCTTAACAGTCAGACTGATTTTCAGGAACAAATGATGAGTGCTTTTATTTGTTTAGAATTTATTGAAATAGATTTTTATTGTGTACTGTTTATATTTGTGAGGAGGGATTTTATAGGGTCAGTTTTGTCAATTGAGTGAAGGCCCCCCAAATACATAGAAAAATAATTTAGTCACTTTGATGGGGATACCAGTCTATCCCATATCTAGCCATGACAGCCCAGCCAACCCATCTGCCATTCAGTTAAGCTGCCCCATTCATTTAGTCCATGCACTGGTTACTGCAAGGTAGGCCTAGAATCTATAGAAAGAAGAAAAATAGAAAAGGAAGAAAAAAAACCTGCATTCTGAAGTGACTTGTAATGTAATTACAAGATAAGTAATGATAGAAAATTCACATAACTTGATGACTAAAATTTCAAATTGTGAACCACATAGGATAAGATACTAGAAGGTAAACCATGATGCATCATCATAACCATCATTATCATCATCATCATCATCATCATCATCATAACCATTATCATCATCTATATCCTTTTTCATGTTCCATACTAGTCCTTAGCTATTGATCCAAAACGAAGATTTAATGTTTTTACCCCAAATAATAACAAAGTGAGAACTTAAATTAAAAAGAAAATGGAAAAGCTTAATTTTAGCTTAAATATTAGATATGCAGATTATAGTTTAAAAGGTTGCTTTCCTAAAATATTTCTATAACTTCTCTGTGTCCCTTCAGTCTTAGTCTGCCTACCTTGTTTCAATCAAACTTGAAATTATACCTTTAGAGAACACTCCACCTATTTTTGTTTATTGGTTGCTTCTGGGTTTTTGTTTGTTTGCTTGCTTGCTTTGTTTTACCTCACTTGACTTTTTAATTCTTTTTCATGAAGATAACATCTTTATGGCTAAGAACTCTTATCTCTAAAATGGATGCATCTACAGACACCACAGATTTTCTTAGCCCAAAAGGACAATCAATAAGCTTCTTATTACACAGTTTGGGTCTAGGCTTTAATCCCCCCTAATTTATCTTGAGACTTTTACTTTTAGATAGAAGTAGACACAGGCAAAATATATTGATTATATTTACAGTGTTTACTATTATATTATCTGTTTAGAATAACTGTATTAAGATATTGTAAAAGATACTTTCAATCATTCTTGACCTTCAAAATGACTAATTTTGTGCTAGTGAACAATGTTTACATGCATATATTTATAAAACTACATGATATGTTTTTCTTTACAAGCAGCTCCTGGACTGTGTGAAAGGGTCATTCCTCATGAGTGCATTTTCTATGGAAGATACTAGAAGAGTAATAATTTTCAGGGATTGGGCCTGGGTTGTCTTATAAGAAGCAAAGGGCCATCTTGTGTTTACATACAGTGATGTGTGTATTTGTGTATGTATGTACCTTGGTAAAACTGGAACAACTTATTAACATGTGTATTACTCTACCCACCACCCCAAATGTAGTTGAAACTAGTAGAAAGGATCAGTTTTCCTAGTGATAGTGTATTAGCTAACTAAGCATTTAGTTAAGGAATAAGGAGTGAGGGAGGGAGAGAGAGAGGGAGAAAGAGAGAAACTGACAGTCTCTATATTTTCTGGAAATATGGGACCATATTATTTCTTTAAAAAAAAGTTAAGTTTAAATACCTGATTAGAAGTTGGTTCTGAGTTCAAACAGTCCTGCCTCCTATTGAGAACTCTTGATCATATTTTTACTTGGGTGCACATCTGAGTGATTCCATGATCTTTTGTGCATGTGGCCAGTATTATCTTATTAGGTAGAAGTAGTTCTCAAGATGTAGGTGGCAAATAACCGTCCTCACACTTGTTGATGCAGCTTTCATGTACAACATGAGAAAGCATCAATCAGGTCTAGTGTGAACAATGCGACTGTCCTCTCTTTTTGAAGCTTGTGTGGAAAGTAAAACTATCAGGAGCCCTGGGAGATGCCCCAGGCAGAAAGGGAGGGAGAAAGAACTGGTCTGCTCTCTGCCTAAATGGAATCCTTCTTACTTGTGAAGTCATCTCATTCAGGTGGGAGGGAGGTAGAGGGATTCCAGAGCCTGAGAGCATCTTGGAATTGGCTGTGAGCACACAGTGTAGCCGAGTTTGGTCCCGAGAAGGGGTCCACCCTGCTCAAGTGTGTGTGCCCACCTCTCTCCAGGAAAGTGGACCAAGGACCAGGCCAGGATCCCCACCCTCACCAAGTGGCCTCCAACAGTCCCTGCTCCCCTGTCATCCCACATGGACCTGGAAGCCCTGACTCCCAGTCTTCGGGCCATCTCGGACCCTTCCCCACTATCCCGAGATGGTTCTGAGGTCTCACTGTCCTCCTCCCCTCTCACAAGGATGTAACTCCCTGCTAGCCGTGCAGCTCAGCTCGTGGTGTCCTAGTGAAACGAGGGCGCACTTGCGCCCGACGTGCCTTGGCGACACGGGCGGCACCACGCCCCGCTTCGCCCGTCCGGTCCTGCCGCACCCTCTAGGCCGTGCCCTGCCCTGGGCTAGCTGGGCCTGGTGGCTGGGTCGCCCTCTGTATTTGTATTTGGATTCCTACGTTTGTACTTCTAATACAAATAAATGCACATGTTGTCAAAAATACTTGAGCCAGGAATGGGCATCTTTCTGGTTTGGGGTGGCTGTCCAAGAAGAGGCTGGTGAAAGGTGGGCTGGGGCCGAGGCCAAGGGTACCCTTATGCATGTGGGTCCTGCCCGCCAAGAGAGTATGACACCCATTGCCCCTCTTGGAGGCTCAGCTCTCTGCCCAGCACCACACAAAGACAGCTTCTGTAAATGTTGAAGAGGAGGGCATTGTCTTCTTCTCTGACAGAAAGGTTACAAGTGGCCAGTGTCCAAAGGAAGTGCCTTCCTCTTCCACTCCTGCCAAAACCCATGAACAGACATTTCTAATTTCTAATTCTAATTCTAAATTCTAATTTCTAATGGAGAGCAGGAGGCCCCACCCCAACCAGGTCAAAGCAGTTGGTTCCAGCCTCTGGGGCCTTACCTGCAGCTCAGAAGACTGAATATTGTGGGCAGAAACCTTATACTGTCTATGCATCTGGAAAGGAGGACTAGCTACCCAAAAGTCCAAACAGTGGCTTGGTGGGAAGGCACTGCACCCCCACACTAAATAAAAGCAAACCTTCACAATCCAAAACTATAAACCAATAGCAAATACCACCACTGTGGGTAGACAGAGAATTTTATACTCTAGTGTATTTGAATTGAGCACATATTACTAAAAATGAACAACCCAGGTCCCCTAGCTCACCTAGTATGACTTCAATGAAACAGTCCCACCTCTTCCCAGTTGGTCCCTGTGCGGGTGGAAGGTGGGGGGGGCGGTTGGTATGAGACATTTTCTACCACATCTGCCTGTTTCTACCTCTGCTTTAAATCCTAACAGAGAACGCAGAATATGACATTCGATTTTCAGAAGCTGATTAGACCTCTCCAAAGTATCTATTTTGGTGTTTTTAGCAATTACTTCTAAAATTACTTCAATCTGTGCTTAAACACTGGTGAATATTCTGTGTTCATTATTCACTTTCTCTTACCAATATTGTCAAGTTCACCCTGGTCTGTGGCCAAAGTTGCAGGCCCCTTCAGAGATAAATTATAACAACAGCTGTCATTTATGGAGGCCTGACTATGTATTAAGAACTTTCACACATTGAATTTGTTCCATCCTTCCAGCACACTGTGATGGAGGTACAGTTTTTGTCACCATTCTGCTGATAGGACAATTGACAGATGGTTTAAAATAACTTGTCCAATATCATAAGCCTAGAAAAAGGATTTTAGTGCTAGAAATATGACTTCAAGCAACTTCAAAACTCCTGTGCTTAGTAGCTACATTTTTCCAGTCAGTGTCTTGAAAACCTTAATATCACGGAAGGAACTTCTGAGACTGTTCTTTTACTGTGGTAGAAATTAACTTTTTAATTAAACACACTTTTCTTTGTGAAAGAACATCTCTTTCAGGGGGGCATTGAAAATGTGTGCCAAAATGGTACACTGAGGTCAGCTGTCTTTAGTAGGGACTGTCTTTAGTATTGCCAGAAATCAATAAAAGCTTTTCTCAAATAAAAAGTAATACATAGAATGTTCACTCACTTGATTGCTTAAGTTGTAAAGTAGGAAGAAAGTTCATGCCAGGCCCTGAAGGTATTGGTTACAGAACTGGAATTTTCAGTAAAGGAGAGACTTCATAAAGTCTTAAGATTTGGGACCCTGAGACCTGGAGTGACGTATTTAAGCTTCCAATCTAACACCAAACTAGTTTTTTCTTTTCTGAAAACCTTTCAACAACTCTCCCTGGGCCAATAGCCTCATTGGTCCAGGCTCAAAGTTATTTCTAAGCATAACCCAGAAGGAGTGCCTCAGGTCTGTTCATAGAGGAGATGATACACTTGGGATCCTGCAGCATCTTAAATATTTGTATTGAAAGGAAACTTGGAAGCCTTCCTGGAAGTTATTTTAAGGATTTTATAACTAGAAAGGACTGGCATAAGGCTGGGATGGATGCATTTATATATGAAGGGATCAAATAGTACCAGCAATTTGCTTTTAAGGTTAATGATGAACTACTCAAGTAAAATGACTGTTTAAACCTGAATACACAATGGTATTCAGCCAAATAAATTGAGAGACCAGTACTTCCTTGATACATTGTAGAGAAAAAGCCCAAGTCTTTGGGAGGTGAGAATGTTGGAATGGGTCCATCACATGCAACTAATCCATCCACCATCTAACCACAAACAGGGATATTCAGGGGTACCTCCCACACCTAGAGACTAAGAAAGACATCAGTGATGAAGCCCCAGCATCCATGGAAGCTCAGGGAAGGTTGCAGATGCTGGGGATATGCTACAATAATTTCAGTGGAAATTATTAAATCTTGGAGTAATAGGGCCACATGATGTGACTTAACCTTCAGAAGAAATGGATTCAATGACAATAATAAGCCCTAGGAATGAAGGAAAAATCAGAGCATGTCAATCCACAAACATCCAAGGGCAGTGGCTAACTGATGCCAAAGTCTGTAGGAATGGTATAGATGAAAAAGCTACAGAGACATTGTTTGATGTATATAATCAGGAAAGTACCAGAGCAAACAGGCAGAACCTCATATTGACATTATGAAAATTCATGGACCCTTACTGTGGCCCCTAGTTTGAGCTGATCCACAGATTCAGAGTCCCCTTGTGGAGCAGGAGCCATGTCCCTTTGAAGAGTTCTGCATCATGGCCAAGAGTATTTCCTGAGACTCTTCCTTCAACCATTTCCAAGAGAAAAGGAGCTGTTTACCAGGGTAACTGGGTCAGGAGGAAAGGAAAATAATCAGAATGTCTAAAGTTATTTGGTACTTATTTATGAATTTTAAAAATTCCCTGGGAACACAAAATGACACTAGGGTCCAAGGTCAGAGGAGGCTATGGAAGTCAGGAAATAAAGTCAAGCTTTTTTTTTTTTTTGGCCTATGCCAATCCTCCAGGAGCCCAGAGAAGTAAAGCTCCTAATATATAAGAGAAATATGCATACTGTAAATCTGATGGAATCTTCATATGTTTGTTCTCTGAAGACTGAGAGACAAAGACTTTAAGAAAATGTGTTCTACTTGCAAAAGTGTTTACCAATGGCACCCCAGCTAAAGCTTGCCAAATGGAACACACGATTGGATTTAAAGAAAATAAAACTAGATTACTAAAGTAACCAAGCTATATCTGTTTATGTGACAAAAGTAGTCATTTTCTGTCATGGTTAACACAATATCCACAAAAGGTATCATGTATCTTTAAAAATCAGAATGCAAACGTCAAGGATAAACATATTCTTATTAAATCAAGAACAGAAAAGCTCATGGTTTTATTTTTTTGGGGCACTTAGGATAGAAGACAAAGTGCGTTTTCTTTCTGACTGTGATCCATACAATGTTCACCACAATGGATAACAAGCTGTCGGTTTGCTTCCACATTTGCTGACCCATGGAGTGAGGACTACTGCAGTATGAGAGGCAAGTGGAAACTGGCCTAGCTGCCCCAGTTTGCCAAAATAGCAAGCCCAAAATATTGTCATATCCATGGGAAAATATCAGTCTACTTACATCTAATGTAAAAGATGCAGGGGGAAATTATTCTACCACCCTTCTGTAGCTTGCACATGTATGTGTCTGGTACAAAGGCCAGACAGACCTTGAAGAATGACTTTTTGCAAAGAATGTGATTATTATAAAATGAATCAAGTTATGATGTCATTCACAGAGGCTATTCCAGATGTGATATATTTTCTAGAGCAAATGAACAAAGTCCCTGGCAGTTAATGTGCTGCTACTGACCCAGAAAGTGCTTTGATTTTAGTCCCAGTTAATACACACTATAAAAATTAATTGGCTTTCACCTGCAATGGCCTATAATACATTTTGACTCTTACATCAGAAAAATGTAAACTCATGTGCTTTCTGTCATAATATATCAAGCCCAGAGAGGGACTTTAATCATCTTGATATATCCATAGAGCATTATATTAGTCCACTTCAATGGACTCAAAATTATTTAGATCTTTTAAATTGTAGAATTAAAGATCTTAGAGGCTTTAGTAAGACAGACTCATTCCAGATTCTGATAAATTCTGGGGAGGCCCAGAATCCTACTATATGAGTGAATGTCTCAAGAGCCAAGTGATCCTGAGCATATCTAGATAGCTCCTTTACATGTAAATACAAAATTGTTCCATCTTCAGTCACCCACCATAAATAAAGGGATACAATGTTTGATACACCTCTTTGGAATTTGGAAGCAATATATAAAACATGTGGTTATAATTTTTTGACATATTTATTGTATAGACCATAAGGCTGAAAATTTGGGGTAAGACTCACAGCAAAAGAAGTATTTGAAGCAGACCCTGGATAAGTAGAGGCTGAAGTGCAAAGTAGTCCTTGTGATTTAGCAGAGCCAATGGCATTTATATTATCTGTGGCAAACAGGGATGTTGTATGGACTCACAGACTGTAATAAGATAATCACCATTCTAATGCCTTGAATTTTGTGCCCTTCTATTGACAACCATTCTTTATTCCAATAGCATTTCCTGGTTTGCTAATGCACTGATAGAAATTTAATGCCTGATTATGAGTTGCCAAAAAAGATATATGGCCTGATATACCCATCATAAGTGGAGATTCTATACATGACATCAAGCCTGAATAGAGGTAGAAAGCATAAGCAGTTTGCATGAGAAACAGGTACAGATTCTCATGGTATCAAGACCATACATAAAATAACCATATGAATGGAGCACATGCATAGGTTCAACAAAGTGAACTTTCCCTCATCAAAAATGATCTGCCACCAATAAGTGCTCATCTATCACCAGAAAAGGCCAACCCAATGCCTCTGATATGGTATCATTACTTAGAGACACTAGCCATCTACCTGGCAGATCTATGACATAGAACTCAACCTTGACCCAGTGGTGAGTGGTTCATCTTCTTTGGAATAGGATGAGTATTTCTGATGGGAATTTGTCTTCCCTGCCAATAAGGCCATTCACACATTTGCACTCCTTATTCATTGCCATGGCAACCCA